GGCTAAGCAGGGGCGGCTAAGCAGGGGCGGCGAGGGTGGCGCGGGCGCGTGGCGAGGGCGGCGGCGACAGAGGGCGGGGTTTGCGGGGAGGGCGGGTGCGAGGAGGCGGCCGCTGCGCCTGGTCGCACGACGAGCCGTCGTAGTTCCACGACGGCAGCTGATCGAGCGACGCCTTTGCGGGAGCGGGGGCGCGGAGGCTGTGAGGTGGTGGGAGCAGGCGGCGAGGCTGCCGTCGCCCCAAGAAAGAGGGAAAGGGCAGCGGTCGCGAGGGGAGCGTGTCGAGGGAGAGTGGTCGGCTAGCCACGGCAGAGGGAGTGGGAGGCGGGACGAGTGGAGCGCGGCGGAAGGGGCACGGGTGGAGAGCCGGTCGAGTGTGCGCGCGCCTTCTTGGCGTCAATGGTGCGGCACTTGGAGCGAACCTCGCCCTGCCGGTGGAGGCGAGGGCGGCGTGAGAGCGTCGTCGGCGGGAGGGGGCGGGCCGGCTCTCCGCACGAGGCGCGCGCCGCGCCTTTGCGTCGATCCACAGATACTCCGCCTGAACCTGGCCCGGGTGCGGCAGGTTCATGTAGCGGTCGAGGACCGCGGCGTCTGTCTCGACAAACTCGGCCATGCGCGGCGTGGCGAGGCGGGCCGTGGCGGGCATCGCGCGCTGGACGACGAGCGAAAGGGGGGCGGAGGAGGCGAGGGCAAGCATTGTAATGACACAGGGAGTCGGCGACGTGCCGAGCTGCCGAAGTTCAGGATCTGTTACAGATGAAAAAAATACGGCTGTGTAAGTGCTCCTCGAGGTGGATATAACATAAACAACGCGCCGGTCGTGCACGGTGACAAGGAGAAACCAGAGCTCACCCGGCAGTACAACGAGGGGTACAAGGTCGACCTCGCGGAACCCCACGCAGCCACGCTGGGCCGGGAGGATGCGATGAGGTGAATGAAGTCAAGCTCTGGACGCCCCTCCTCAAGACCTCCTCGACGGGCGTTGGCAACGCCTCGAGTGGCGGCACACCCGCCTCCGTTGGCCACTCCTACGCCTTCGGCAACACCGAGGAGAAGGCCCGCCGCCTAAACATGGGCTGCAAGGCGCGCGGGCAGCCCGGCCCACCCTTCGACCACAAGAACGGCCACGGCTTACCGTCAAGGCGCGCATCGCGGTTTCTACCACGACGCGATCTTTGTCAAGCGCAACAACTTCAACCTGCTGCTCCACGAGACGTTCGGCGGCGGCTTCTCGCCCACCGGGCCGTTCTCAAGCTGCGCCGCCTCGCGCGCAAAGCCGCGCGCGGCAGCGTCGACCGCACGGCCTACTCACCCAAGTACTCGCTCTCTTTTATGTCCCACCATATGCAGAGCGCATCTGACTCTCTCTCTGTTGTGCGAGGCGTGAACAGGGCTAAGGGTACTCGCCATTCGCTCTCACCTGGCAATCCTGTCTGCACGTCTCGCGCGCGCGTGAACAGGGCTAAGGGTAGACAGTCGTTTACACTGAGGGAGCAATGGCTATTATTATTCGGGTTGCTTTGATCATTCAGGGCGGCGTCCTACCATGGCGTCTCAAGTCAATTATTACTATTGCTGGTGTCCGCCGTGCGAGGCGCCGTTCCACTTCAGCGCCGCCGGTCTGGCGCGGTTTCCTATTTGCAATTATTGCACGCCGCGCCGCCGTTGGGCGAACTCGTCGGCAGCAACTTATTGGCGCGGTTTTCGCGATGTCTCTCTTAGCTCTGGGATGCACGTCTCGCGCGCGCGTGAACAGGGCCAAACTTTAAACCACCATAAAGATCTATCTCGTATCTGGAGGGGCTCCAGCCGCCCCAAATGACGTGTGAGTGTTAGAGTTGTTTGGTATTGCTAAAAATCTCTCAGGGTCTGGCTCCCTGCAGACTGCACGTGAGTGTGCACCGGCCACCGCTCCCGCTCCCGCCCGACGCCCGTCGGCGTCGCCTGCGTTTGCGTTCCCGCCAGGGATTTATTTAATGATAATGTTATTACAGTTATGGAAAGAAAGCGTTGAGGCCTCGCGCGCGCGGATTGGAGGATTTGAAGCATGAAGGCTAGAGGGTCCTAAAGGTTCAGACAGAGGAAAGAACACTTTTGGGGGACGCGATAAAAATCTACCACGCACATATGCTGTGTTAAGCTTGGCATGATCTTGTTACGGCACAAGTATGAATGTTGCACGCCGAGGCACTGTGCCGATCAACTCCAATTCAACAGTGTCAAATTACACGAGCTGTCGGCAAGCGGTTGCCAGTTGCGCCCTAGTGCTTTCGCCTTTGGATTGAAGGTGCTCAGCATCCACTTGTACACTGCCATCGTTTGGGGGGGCATCTCGATGTCTTCATCCGGGTGGTGCAGATCGCGCTTGTCAACCTGGCTTGCCATCAGATGCCACTCCACGAACAAATTCTGCACGCGCTGACACAGCACGCCCGAGAGGAGGAGGTTGCGCATGAGCCGTCCCTCATACCCCTCAACGTCAATTTTGAGCGCGACCGGCCCAGGCGGCGCGTGACGGATCACGCTGAGTGCGTTCACCGTCCGCACGCGCACTCTGTGTTCGCCCACCGCTGGCCCGCGCCCCAACCCCTCGCGAGTCTTGGTGCGCTTGTGGAGCATGAGGGACGACCCCTCAGCGTTCCCGGTCGTGTTGTCGAGGCCGAATATCGCGGTGCCGTCAAGCTCGGCGAAGGCAGTGCCGTTGAAAACCTCAATGTGCACGCCCAGCTTGCGCCGCAACACAGCAGCAGTGTGCAGGAGCTGCCCTGCAAGCTGCGGGTTGGGTTCATACGCGAGAGCACAGTACGACAGCCGCACAGTCAGAGGCAGCCACCATGGCCACTGCCAGGCGCACGGTTTGCGGCGCAGCGCATGCGGCGCGGTAGCGCACGACTCGGCTGTGTACCACATATGCAAAGAGTCGCCACTGTTGGCACCAGCGTCAATGAACGTGCCGCTGCAACGCGTCGCCATGTGTCTCGTCGAGCCGGCAGTGCTTCGCTGGCTGGCCTCGTCGAGGCCGACGGCGGCTACAAGCAAGCAGTGGAGCGCTGGCATCGCTGTAGGACGGCCACGTGGCCACGTTTAGGCTGATCGGAAAGAAGGGCTAAGCGACTCCTGCGAGGGCGGCGAGGCACTTAGCTCCGTGCCGCCCTCGCCTCATGCAGGCAAGCTCATTCACAACCTGCTCTGCGATTGCCGTGTGCACGCGCAGGCAGGCAAGCTCATTCACGTAAACGCACAACCCCGGGCCCGAGCACAATCAGACTGGAGCTCCACAATCTGATCTGTAACTGATGACAAAAATGCCGCCGCGTGCCGAGCGAGAAGAGACCATTAATTACCAGCGAGAAGAGACAGAACGAACGACGAGAGAGAGAGAGAGAGATTTTTAGCAATACCAAACAACTCTAACACTCGTTTGTTGCGACGAGAGTGGGACGACCGCGGGGTGGCATGAAGGTTGCAGCGAGAGTCGGCGAGGGACTGCGAGGAGAGATAGGAAGAGGCGGACGCCCAAGGGTGGGCGACGGCTAGCGCACCACACCCCTCCCCTTAAAATCCCTGTGTGGTGGCGGCGTGCCGTCCTCCCATCCCTCCGAGTGGGTGCTCTTCGAGGTCCTCCTCTCGCCGGACCTCGCCCCGCACATCCTCGCCCAGCTGCCGACCAAGGAGCACGCCGTCAAGGGGACGTGCCGCGCGTGGCGCCGCGGCTGGAAGGAGACGCTGAGGAAGCGCGAGAGGCCGCGCCTGGTCGTGATCGGCGGCGAAGACAACGATGGCGAGTTTGTCAACTCGCTGGAGCGGTACGACCCGTCCACAAACGAGTGGGAGGAGGAGGCTGTGGCGCCGATGCCGACGGCGCGCACGGTAGCCGGTAGCCCGCATGGCGGTGCTCGATGGCAAGCTCTACGCGGCGGGCGGCCAGAACGAGGCTGATGGCGAGGATGAGGCCGACGGCGCAACTTCCAACTCGGTCGAGCGGTGCGACCTGACTACGAAAGCATGGGAGGTTGTGGCGCCGATGGTAACGCCACACGAGAATCACGCCCTGGCTGTGCTCGACGACGACGACGACGACGACCTCCTGAGCTCGGTGGAGCGATACGATCCCGCGACGGACGCGTGGGAGGCGGTGGCGCCGATGGCGACAGCACGTCGTTTTCCCGCTGTGGCCGTGCTCGACGGCAAGCTATACGCTGTGGGTGGGGTGGGCCTCGCTGTGGGGTTAATTGCCCTCCTGCCAGCAGCTCACTTCAGTCGAGCGGTACGACCCGGCGTTGGATGCGTGGGAGGCGGTGGCGCCGATGGCGGAGCCGCGGGTAGCTTTCGGCGTGGCGGTACTCGACGGCAAGCTGTACGCTGTGGGCGGGCGTGGCGACGGCCTCCTCAGCTCGGTGGAGCGGTACGACCCGGCTGCGGATGCGTGGGAGGCGGTGGCGCCGATCGCTGTGGCTCGGGAGGATCTCAGCGTGGCGGTGCTCAGCGGCAAGCTTTACGCTGTGGGCGGGCATTGCAGCGCCGGTGACTCCCTCAGCACGGTGGAGAGGTACGACCCCGCGACGAACGCGTGGGAGGCGGTGGCGCCGATGGCGGCGGCGCGGGTCTCTGCCGTAGCTGTCTTGATGTGACTGTTACACTTCACGCAAAGAAGGGGCGCGTGGCAACTCGGAGTGGAGAAATCAGCGCCCGGGCTAAAAATTCTTTTTATGCCAGCGTGATGGCCGCACATCACCTCGCCGATCTCAACGGCAAGACCCTGCTCGCCACGTGTAAGCTTGCTCAGGAGCGCCGTGAGCTGCAAGCTGCGGGAAGGCTGAGAGGCAGCAGCTATCGGCCTCCGTACGAGGTCAGCAGCCCTGCGAGCGTCACAAACGCAGAACTGCTCCAGCTCAAACCGCTCTACCTCGAGCTCATCAACGAGCCTGCGCTGCACGACGAGTGCCTCAACATCATCGAGACGCTGGAACCAGATGGCGCCGCCGCCGCTCTCTACGTCCTTGAGTATCCCGGTCTCACCGCACAGTCGCGCTTCGACGTGAGCGGGTTGTCGGGAAGCACGAACGTCGAAGGCTTCCCGCTGCAAGACGTGGTGAAGAGCATATCGGCAGACCAGCGGCTGCTGCGCTGGTGCCGATGCGCCATCGCCGCCCCGGGCCTCCACTGTGAGCCCGTCCTCCAGAGCGCGCTCCAGCTCTTGGTGACGGCGAGCAGCAGCAGCAATTTGCGAAAGGGAGGGAACAGGCGGCGTTTTTGCGCCTTCGTCCTGCAGGATCCGGAGGCCGGCGCCGAGGAGGCAGCGCTGATCTCCCTCTTCGAGCACCTTGCCAAGGTCTTGAAAAAGCCTACTCTGGCTGCGGCCGCCGTGGTGCACTGCCATTCGCTCGTCATGAGGGGAGTGAAGCTCGTCGTGGACAGCACAGAGCCTGAGCGGGCCTTTCTGCGCCTCTTTGCCAATCGCGCTTCGAGCCGCGAATGGCGGTCGGCTCTCGCGCGGTGCCGGCCGGACATGGGTGAGCTCGCGGACGACATGCTGAGTCACCTCGACCGCCGCTGTGCCGCGCAGGAGAGGAGAGACATCCTCCTGGCGCCGGGAGTCGGTGCCAACGTCACGGCTCGCTCTGTGCAGCCGCACGAGGAGGTCTGCGCCGGGCCGGAGTGCACGAACGCCGGCGTACAGAAATGTGGACGCTGCAAGCTGGTCTCGTATTGCGGTCCCGTTTGCCAGAAGGCGCACTGGAAGGCACACAAGAAGGTGTGCGCCAAAGCGGCCGGAGATTCCAGCCGCGCAGAGCTCCAGGCTGCGCTGCAGGGCGAGATGGCGAGCATGCGGCTGGACAGCTCCAACTTGCGCGTTTCGCAGGAGCGACGCTGCGAGGAAAAACGGGCTTCGACTACATAATTACGGCCGACGCGCGCCAAGATCTGGGCCTGTCATTTGAGAACGCGTTTATGGGAATCGCCTTCAGGACTGCCAAGCTCGTCGCCGGCGACCGCAGCCGCGACCGCAGGCAGAGGCATGGGGCGCTGTGTCGGATGTTGGACACGATCGCGACCAACGCAGTACGTTTCGGCGTCTCGAGGGCGCAGGTGCACACCCAACTCGAAGCCGAGTACGAGCCGTTCAACCCGGATGGCCCGGCGAGGTTTGATATGAGCAAGGGCGACCTTGAGACGGTCATGGACAGGCTGCCGTGAGAGTACTCGGCATCGGAGCGTCTGTTCCGTTTACATCTTCGCTCTGCACCCTTCCTCAACGTATAGTAGAGCGGTCCGTTCTGACACTATTGCAATAGCGCTGGTAGGACCGTAGGACTAGGAGTCACTCAGTCACTGCCCGCAGCTGCGCGGCCCGGAAGGTTCTCGTTTAATACATGATACATCTTCGAAGACGGGAAGCTTGGAGATCTCAATCTCGAGAATGTCGTGCTCGTACAGCTTGGTGAGTCGCCTGCCGATCGGTCTGCTCCTAAGCGCTCTCGGGGTGCAGCGCGGCGTCTCACGAAACACGATGCTAGCAGCCGCGCTCGCTCAGCGCCCGCGAGAAACGGGCGGTGCCCGCGAAAAGCTCGAGCGTCTTAAGCGGCACGGGCGAGCCGAGCGCATGCTTCAGCTCGCGCGCGTCCGCCACATTCTTCTGCAGCTCGTTGAGCAGCTTGCCGAGCGCGCTCACGTCCTCCGCCTTGACGGTGCCGCATGCCTCGAGCGAGGAAACACGTGCGAGCCAGTCGGTGCCACAGAGCGTGTGCGCGTCCTCCTTGACCATGCCGTAGAGCTCACGTAGGTGACGGATCATATCCTCAAAGGTGTTGAGCGGGTCGGTGCCCGCGTCAGATTCGAGCTTCTCGAGGCGCGCCTGCCACTCGCGCACAAACTTCTTGCGTCCCGCGTCTGAGCCCTTGAGCTCCTCCATAAAGATAGATTTCTCAACCTCGGCGAGCTTGGCGAGCTGGTTCTGGATCATCTGGGAGACGGAGAGCATGCTGAATGCAGCTGAAATCGCACGCGTGGCGGCAAAACTGCACGGGAATCGCACAGCCAGGGACGCGTCCGCCCTGGCGTATCTAAATAGTCACATGGAATGGCACAGCGCCGTCGATGGCACATGGCCTGCCTTGCGTATATGGGCTGCGGGCTTATCGAGCACTCACAAGGGCCGCATGAGTGAGCTCTGGAGTGGGCCTGATGATTCAGCCAATCGTTTCTGCAGCGCCCCCGCCTCGAAGTTGATTCATCCATTCTCGGTTTGTTCAGGAGAAGCACGCAGAGTCCACAGAATTCCCAATGGGAGATAATTCTGTCCGGAAAAAGAAATCCGCGCGGTGCGGCGGGCACGGCTCGTAGAGCTCGTTGGCGAGCCTCACTAGTACAGTAGCGACCATTTTGTCTTTACGTGGTTGTGAGCACTCTGTGTGGGAACCCTGCGTCATCGTTGTTGAGTGGTAACATTCTTTTCCAGTGCGCGCGAGTTCCCTTTGCCTAGGCGGTGGCGAAAAAAGCCGGTGTCGCTGGTGTCGCGCCGGGGCTGCCGGAGGCGCCGTTGCAGGATCAGGAGAGGTAAGGTAAGGTAAGGTAGATTTCTCCACACACACAAAGTGGTGGGGCAAGGGGGGGCGACCCTCGCATCTCCACGCCCGGACACGGGCAGGAGCCCCACGGCATTCAAAGTGCAAGCACTGGCCCGGTGCACGTGGGTGAGCAGCCTGCCCCTCCCTCCCGACAAACCAACTCCCGCACACACACAATCGCACTCTGGCCATCGAATGACTCCGAATGACTCACTGTGTGTGCTAAGACAGAATCTCCGCAGACATCCAAAACGGGCCGTGCCGCGTTTGTGGTGTCTTCTCAAGCACTAGCATCCGGACGCCGCACTCGAGCGGGCGGGTCACATCTATGTGGGCCCAGTGTGCGCACTAGGCGCATATGCTAGTGCTATCCTGCCCTATGGGAGGCAGAGGGATGGGGGGAGGGGGGGGCAGAGGTAAGGTGGGGTGAGACTGGGGAGGGCCTCAAAGGTCCTCCATGGGGGTGGGGTCCGGCCCGAACAGGTCGAAGCCGGTCCCGCCATCGCCGCCGGCGCCGTCGCCCTCGTCCGCCTCGGAGGCGGAAGTCGTCGAGCGGGGCGTCTCGCCCGTCGCGAACCTGCCGCCGAACACGGCGTCGGCCGGCGCCGAGGCGCCGGCAGCCGTGATCAGGTCGGCGACCTTTCGGTCCCTGCAGGCCGCATCAATTTTGCCGCCCCGGGACGGCTCGTATAGCTCGTTAGCGAGCCAGTCCCGGGCGACCTTGGTCGCCACGGAGCCCAGAGGGACCGTGGCGTACACCAGGTCGCCGAACCCGCTGCCCCCCTCGGGAGGCAGCGAGTAGGCGACCTGAATCTTGGACCCGGTGGGGATGCGCGCCGCCTGCGCCGCAGCCTCCAGGCCGTCCATGACGAACTCGACGTTCTCGCGCAGCTGCGCGTGCGGGTAGTCCGCACGCTCAGCCTCGCTCGCAGCCGCCGCCGCAGCCTTCTCCGCCTTGTTCGCCTTCTGCCGGGCCTTTTTGGCCCTGCGAGCCGCGGCCCGAGCATCCTTCTGCTCCTCCGTCAGCTCCTCCTTCCGCGGCGCGGTGCGCTCGACGAACGAGCGCTCCGCCGCCTGCACCGGCTCGCGGTCGCCCGCGGCCTTCTCGTGCTTCAGGTCGAAGGTCGCCGTCCCGTAGCCAGGGACCTCATACCTGAGCTGCGACACACCTGCAAGCCTTGCGGCAATGAGGCAGTCTTGCATGTGCGCGCGATCGCTGCTATTCCAGGGCCGTCCGCGGCGCATCCCCGGCGGCCCGACGGTGGCCGGCGCTTGCGCGCCAGCCCCGTCCGCCGCCGGATCCGCGGCCGCGGTCCCTGTCATAGCTACGCGCGCCATGGGGCGACGTGCCCGCCAGTGTACGAGATAAAGCCGCCTAGATCTCCGGTGCTGCGATCACCGCCCAGGTCTCCAAGCGCGGCGCTCCGTGCACGACTGGCCTCGTGCTCTCCCCGATGGCGCTCACACGCGCGGCGCGCGGCCAAGGGGCGGTACAATGAGGCCAACGTGGTACGTGCACGCCCCCTACCGCCCTCTAGCGCCCCCCCTACGGGACAGCTCCCGCCAGAACTGCATGAAGATTAGAAGTCCAACTCCAAGTCTCGCATCGCGGAGTTGCAGAGAGAGGTGTCCAGGAGATCTTGCGCCGCAAGGCGCTTCTTCTTGCTGCGGGTGCATGCCCCAGGCGCGGAGCTCGGTCGTCGGTGTCTTATCAGTTACAGGAGAGATGTGTTGTGTCGCCGGGGGAGGTAAGGTAAGGTAAGGTAAACTTCTCCACACACACGAGGTGGTGGGGCAAGGGGGGGCAACCCTCGCGTCTCCACGTCTGACGACAGGAGCCCCACGGCATTCAAAGTGCAAGGCCCAGTGCGCGTGGGTGAGCGGTGTGTGTGTGTGTGTGTGTGTGTGTGTGTGTGTGTGGCGAACCACGAACGGCGCCGAACGCCGCGCGTGTCGGCTAGAATTTTACGAGGTGTTTAGACACTGCAGCCGTGCTGGTAGTTATTAGCGCTCTTAATACTAGCTCAAGCCAAAATATGGTGCGCGCGTGTTACATACTGGCTGTGGCTCGCGCTCTGACTGTCGCTAATCGGCGTGTCCTCTCCAACCTTGTTCCGGCGGTCTGGCGCTCGCCTGTACGACGCCGCTCATCACGGCGCACAGCGAGGCGGAGAGGGTGTCCACTTCGTCCCGCGAGGCGAGCAGCTCACCGAGCGGCTGGTCACTCTCCGCTCCGCTAGTCTTGACGCCCCGACTCCGCGCGTCGCCGGTAGCCTCGCGCCGCCTCTGCCGCTCGCGCCGCTCCTCCGCCCGCTGCGCCTCGGCTGCCGCTCGCCGCGCCTGCGCCAAAGTTCGGACGGTCAATGGTGCGGGGAGAGAGGCAGCTCTCTTGGGTGCGGCGGCACTGCTGGCGGCCGCCTGCTGGTCCGCCTTGAGCGCTGCGATGGCGTCCCGGTGGCTGACAGACGCGTCTCCACGTGGCCGCTGCCCGGGTCTGGCGCCGTGACCGCGGCCGCCGGCTGTCACCGCCTCACTCGCGCGGACGCGGAAGCTCTCGGGCTTGAAGCCGCCTCTCCGCGCTGCAGCCTCTGCGTAGTAGGCTGCCGGCCTGGTGCCTTCGACATTGCAGGCGGCGTCGGTCGACGCGAGATGAAGCCCGGCAGCCGATGTGTCAGTCATCCGCGGCGGAGGGCCGGCTTCGTCGATTTCTGTGACTTGACGAGTGGCAGCACGTGCGTTGGCACACTTGACAGCACCGCACGAGAAGCAGGACTGGCGCTGGCCGAGGTTGATCGCGTGGCAGCCCGCGCAGACCCAGTCGCGGAGGCGCATAATCCACAGAGGTGGAAACAGCGGGAGGAGGCCAGGTGCAGGTCGGGGTGGGGAGGGAAGCTATCGAGGAAAGGGAACGCTTGCAGGAGACGCTGCCCCTCCACCAGAGGGCTGCCCCTCTTGTGGTTATACCAAAAGGAGGGCTACACGACGCCCTCTACGCTGGGGTGCCGGCGCCCTACTGGGCGCCCCCCGCTCCCTTCCCCTCAGAGCCCCCCATCCCACTAGCATTCCCCCGCGGTCCCTCGCGGTCGCGCGACGCCGCACCAATGGCGCGCTGTGCCTCGTCCGCGAGCGCCACCCAGAGCTGCACCGACAGTCGCTGCAGCGCAAACGGCATCCATTCGCGCGCCGACCACGACGTCTGGTCGTACTGCCACCACGTGAGCTTCCGGCCCGCCACCTCAGCCACCCGCATCAGCAGCTCCTCCACCCCCGCGCTCATTGCGCCGAACTCCTCGAAGAGCAACGCCTCCACATGGCACTTCCCCTCTGCGTCCGTGTACTGGCCCTTGACAGCCTCAACCTGCGCCGACTGTTGGCTCCCGAGCTGAGGCCCCGACGATTTGCGGGACGGCCGAGTTTGATTGAGGTCGTTCGCGGCTTCAGTCGGCGCTCCGGCACAAGAGACTTATAAGGGTAGATAACCTGGTTTGTGGAGCTCCCGCAACTTACCCTTAGAGGCCACCATAAGGGACCCCATTGCCCGTTTGCCACCAGACTTTTTTTGAGTTGGAGGTAATAACTAAATGGATTGCACTCTCCCAAAGAACTGATGCATTCATAGTGCCTTCACATAGTTACAATACCTCAAAGTTGAAAACCTCCAAAATAGGCCGTCAGGACTCTGTCAGGACTCCGTCAGGACTCTGTCAGGACTCCGTCAGGACTCTGTCAGGACTCTGTCAGGACTCTGTCAGGACTCCGTCAGGACTCTGTCAGGACTCCGTCAGGACTCCGCCAGGACAACCACTGTCCCCGCTGTGAATAGAGCCCTTAGCTAGAGAGTAGGGAGGGGTGTACAGTCGAGTTACTCCCGAGGGCAGGGACGGCCCTCCACTGAGGGAAAGGGCGCACGGGGACGGTATCGACCCAGCCACGCAGCGCTTTCCTCGCGTACAGCCAACGAGTTTGCTGGTCCACAGGCAGGCCAGGCCGTGAGCGTGGGCCGGTCAGGCCTGATCCTGCGGTGAGCACTGGAGGGCTATGCGGCTCGCTCCGTCAGCCGACTTGCGCTGTCGAGCGGTCGAGCGCTTCGGGTTGGACCCGCGGGAGGGTCCCTGCGCGGCTGACATGGCCAGCCAAGCCGTGTGCGCTGCCGTGGGTGCTGCCGTGGGTGCTGCTGTGGGCGCTGCCGTGGGCGCTGCCGTGGGCGCTGCCTCGGTCAGCAGTCAGTCAGCCGGTGGCAAATCGGGGGCGCGCGGGCCATGGACGTCGTGGCCGAGCTTTGCTGCCTATGCACGTTGCCGGCTGTAACGTTGCCTGCACCATGGCCGCGCCTCTCTTGCTTGTGCGCTTTTCATGGTCGAGCCGAGTGGCGCGAGACCCACGGTGATTTCTTTTGTCTGTATGGACTCTAAGTTCTGTAAGGACTCTCAAGTTTCTGTCAGGACTCTCAAGTTTGCTTGTCAGGACTCTCAAGTTTGCGTCAGGACTGCCCCATCAGGACGATTCCGCAGAGGGCGCGCACGGTCGAAAGGGGGGCTGGGCGTCTATCATTCACTGCTGGGGGGGAGGGGAAGGAGGGTTGCAGTGAAGGAAGGTGGAAGTCTCTTCGGAGGCACTTGTGAGCACTGTGAAGACCGTGCGCCGTCAGGACCCCGCCAGGACTCTGTCAGGACTCTGTCAGGACTCTGTCAGGACTATGTCAGGACTCTGTCAGGACTCTGTCAGGACTGTCAGGACAGTTGCGGGAGCTCCACAAACCAGGTTAGATATGGGAAGACGTGATTGGACCTGCTGCACCAACGGCTACAGCCCCAGCCAGCCCCGTCAACCACCCCTCGCCCGCCACCGAAAATGAAGCCGCACCTGTCGCTAACCCTCGCCGTGCCCCCCGAGTGCGAACGATATGGTCCGAGTACGTGCCGAGCGAGCAGGCGATGGAGATCGGAGACGATCGGGGAGCACGATGCGTAATTGCCCTCGATGTTGACCCTCCCCCACCACCTCCCTCTCCCCGGACGACGCCGCTCTCGCATCTGCTATGCTCTCTCTCTCTCGATACACAACACGCTCGCCGACTTGACAATAAGGGTTGACTCCCTCGCACTAGAGGCGACGAACCTGCCCCCGCCCCTCGGGGCGGGGACCCCCGCCCCCCCGGGGGGCCCTTTGGGGCCCCTCCAGGGGGCGACCCCTCCGGGGAGGCCGGCTTTCCCCGTGCCGGTTCTCCCCAACCAACCCCGCCGGCAGCGCGAGCTGCCGGCCACATTGAGCGGTTCGTCCGCGTCGCGCACTCGTCCCAACCGGGGGCCGCAGACTCGTTCTGCGCGCCAACGGCTGGTGACGCTGTGTTGCCCTTGAGCTAGTCCTTCCCCGGTCGCCTAGCCTCTGCGCTGTCTGGCGGACGCCTGTATGCCATGCGCGGGGACCCCGCTTGGGGGGATACGTGGCTGGCAGGCTGACCCGTGTGGGGGGTAACCCGCCCCCGGGGAAGCTTCAGGGGTTCGAGTCCCCAAACATTAAGCAGGGGAGGTTTCCCGAGGGGGCCCGGGGGGGGGTAATTTGTTTTCCCCCGGCGCTGCTTGCAGCCCCATGGGGAGGGGGTTAAGGGGTTTTTTTTTTTGGGGCCCCCCCCCCCCCCCCGCAAGGCGCGCGATACACACATGATTAGGGACTAGGCCCTCGAGGGCATGAATAAGAGAGCAGCAGCCTTTTCTTTTTCTCCTCCCCCCCGACCCTCTTCACACCCGCAGGCCGAGGAATACCAGTGGACTGCGTGCCGCTCAGCTTGTTGCGCGACTTCAGGAGCCACGGGAAGCGCTCCCGGTAGCCGGGT